CCGGGACGGGAGGGGCTCAAAAGCCGTGGTGGCGGCGCGGCCTGAGGCGGCGGGGGAGGGGCGGGAGCGCGGGGTCGCGCCGCTGGGGGACAGTGGCGCCCAGTGGCGCCCCGAGGCGCGGGGCAGGCCCGGCGGTCACGCGGCCGGGGAGGCCCCGCCGGGTCGCACGGTCGGGGGCGGTTGGCCGGCGAGAGGGGCGGGGCCGGAGTTTCTCGGCGTCGGCCCTCGACTTTCGGAAGCAGGATGTGGGCCGGCCCGGTGACGTCATGGGGTCTCCCAGCCCCGCCCCTCGCCCGGCCGGCGGGGGTGGGGGAGGGAGGGGGAGGGGGACCCCAAGGGGGTTTCCTCAGCAACGCGGAGAGGGAAGGGCAAAATCATTGTGAAACTTGAAACTCATTAACTTTGAAAAACAACTTTGCAAAACCTGGAGGGGTGGGGGCGGGGTGCCGGCCGGGAGAGTAGCAGGGGACAGGTTCTAAACCTCGAACTGAAACCACTTCTGGGTGGTGGCGGGCGTTCTAGTAAAAGAGCCCGGAAAGCCAAGGTTATTCCAGAGGTGCTTCCCAAAGCCCGAGCTGCGCGCGCAGTTAACCCCCGGAGGGCCAGCCTGACAGCTCGGCGGACCCGGGAGGGGACTGCGGGGGGCGGGGGAGCGGCCTCTGGGAATGCGAGGGCGGAGGGAAAGGGGCGTCTCCGGTGCGGACCACAGTTTGACCCGGGCTGCTAAAAGCAATAGAGAGTGGAAACCTACGGGAAAGACTTCGGGGTGAGGAGGTTACTCAAGAACTGTAGCAATGTGGGCTCAGTGTCCACACGCACACCTGAAAAAGCAGGCAAAAACCACCGGTTGAACGGGCCGTCTCCAACTTGGGGCTGGGGGAGAGACAAGGTGAAACAAAAATTTTGAGGCAAAAAAATTAAAAATTTTTATAAAAACGAACCGTTCTCTCCTTTTAAGGAATAAAAATGCTAAACGACCTTACACCCACTCAGACAGCTGGCCATCTGTGCACATTTGTAGTGTTTTGTTCCCCTAGGCTTCCTCAAAGATGGCTGGGTCTTTCCTGCTAGGGTTGACCCCAAAATTCCCCTGAGGAAATCCTACCTCTGGCTCACTTGAGCTAAGAAAAGCTCAAAGCCCCGGAAAGGGAATGATTAAAAATGGAATACTCAGGAATGGCGAGTTTGAAGCCAAAAATAATGTCATGCAAAAGGGAAAATGTGCTTACCAAAAAGTCAGTTTGGTTTATAGGAGCAAAGTTCCTCCAGCAGCAAATATAAAATGATGTCTAGCACACTGTTAACCTTTCAATGAAATAATGCAACTTTCAATTTTCAGTATGATATAATCATCTCTTAGGAAATGAAATGATAAGGTTGCAATCACAAAAAGTAATGTAACTCCATAACTGGGTTACTTGAATCAAGAAAACGGCCAATAAAATATTCGAATAAACATTCAATTAAATATGAAAATACTAATCTATCCGGGAAAATATACCTTAGTAATAAATTGAGTTTGTGTCACACAGGAAGTCAAAACTGCTAATTGCATGAATCCTTTTTTTACCCTATAGCTGAACACAACAGAAATATGTGGACACAATGTTTATTTAAGGATCTAGCGTCTTGTAGACTTTTCAACCAAGTGTACCTGCAATTTTGAATTGTAATACATTAATTGTGCCATTTCAATTTGCTTTCTGGAGCAGCAAACCGATATTAAACTTTTCTTTGAAATCCACACAACACAGAACACTCTCTAGTAAAGTTTTGGAGTTTTCTAAGTCCAATTTCTTTGCCCAAAATTCTGACTTGCCAGTTAGCAGAATGCAAGGGAAACGCATCTCGGTTATTAAAAGTGGCTTGTTTCGGCTTGTTTTGGGCAAATTCAACATAGGTTCTCAGCAGGCGTCAAATAAACGGATCGGGTTGGGGTGGATTCGTGGATCCAGAGGAGCAGTATAAGGAGGAGTATAAGGAGGTAAGGAGCAGTTCGAGCTGTCAAAAATCCTGGCACAATGAGGGAGCGGGTGACCGTTCTCCGCAAGGCAGAGAGGCTCCAGCCCACCTCCCCGCGCGACGCCAGTGTCCCCCGGAGGCGTGGGGTTGAAGGCGAGGTCACCGCCAGACTCTGACGCTCCACCCTTGCCGAGCAGTTTGGGGAGCGCCCACGTCCACGCGCGCCGCGCCCCCGCCCCGGCTCCCACGCGGTGCCCGGGCTCCCCACGGCCGGCCGGACACCTAGATCGGCCACCGGGGCCACGCGAAGATCCCGGGGGTTCCTCCCGCCGCCGCCAGCCGGGTCACAGCGCCCGACCTCCTCCCGCCCCCTCCGCGCGCGCCGGGCTTTCCCGTCCACCAGTCCAGTCCCCTCCTCCTCCGCCGCCGCCGCCTCCACCCCCTTCTGGGGCGACCCGGCGGCAAAACCTTCCCTGCACCTTCTGCCAACTCTGCCCCACACCCAAGCTTTTCCCAAGCCAGGCTCCAGACAAAAGAACCCAGAGAAAAAAACAAAAACAAAAAACTTACCCAACTGCAAAGTTGGATCCATCGCTTCCTGGGTTTAACTTTTAATTTTAAAAACAACAAAAGCAGAAACCAAAAGCCTCCTAGGTTGGAAGTGGGCGTGAGAGGAAATGCTAGGGGGAGGTGCTTCATTCCCTCGCTGCCGCCCCCCCCCCCGTCCCTGCTGGGGCTTTGATGTTATCTGTGCGCCGCCTCCGTGGGTTTATACCTTGGGCTCTGAGCCCAGGGTGACGCACAGCGGTCCGCACTTAGCGGAGTGAGGGGAGCAGGTGGTCAGGGGAAGGATCCGGCCCTGACCCGCCTGAGAGTCACATTTGCACTGTTTCTCTTTCTCACCTGCACTCTAAGGCCTGCTCTACCTATCCAATGATCTCGGAGAGTCCAATCCTGGGGTGTTTTGTTAGGCACTGAGGAGGAGGGCCTAAGTTAGAGTCAGCCCCCCCATTCGTAGTACTGACTTAGAATACCGTGTTAGTGGAAGTTTTCTGACACTGGTCAGGTTTGTAAATAGATGTTACTTGCTGTCTGAGAAGAGACAGGAATGTCCCTCTGAAGACAATAAATTTTTTATAACACAACCTTAACATGCCCCGCACACCTTTCCGCTCACGTTATGGAAAGCTTGTAATTATTTGTTTTACCTTGTTCATCTGGGCACTAGGACAAGCTGGTTATATTTTTATATTAAATTATCAGTCTCAGGACCATCACTAACAAAGTATTAGCAAAAGATGCTTTAAAAAAACAGGTTAGTAACCAAAAAGGATGGCGCTGTCCAGGAACACCCACTATACAATGCCAACCTGCATTCAGGCCTTGGCCTTTGGGAGTTTACAAATTAGTGGAGACACGATAAACACAGGGAAAAAATACCTAGAGGGAAAAAAGATACACGGAGAAGCTTATAAACAGAGCCAATTAAAGTTATACAGAGTTATTTACATGATTGCTGAAAGGTTTCTAGTTGGGTGGAGGGCAGGAATATCAGAGGAAGTTCCATCCTGAGGGCGAATCGCAGTCGGACTTAGAAGCAACGTTCCACATTTGACAGTGGTGTGAGAACAGTGTTCGGGCAGGGGAAAAGCTCAAGGGTGTGTGACAGCTTTTCTGCCTAGAGCAGAAAATTCAAGCAAATGTGAAACCAGAACGCTTTGGAGGGTGAGAGGGAAGCTCTTCACTGTATGGTGCTTAGAGATACACCTGGACCTTCCTAGCACATGGGAAAAGGTGGCTTCTTTAGTAGTAATGAGCTAGGCAGACAGAGCAGGCCTAGGCATTACTTGAAAGGGGTTAAGACATGATACTGCAGTTGGTAGCCATTGGCTTGGGCCAAGAATGCCCTTTTTAAGGAAAGTTATTTGTCACTGGTGAATTTAGGATAGATATGGAACCTGGTTACACATCACAGTAGGACTTGTGCTAGTCATGGTAATAACACTGGTGGTGGTAGCGAATGACAATTGGTGAGAGCTTACAACTGACCGGGTCCTGCTGTGTAATCTGCTATATTCCGCATCACAAACCCAAACCTGCATGAAGAGACAGAAACTAAAATTATCTAGCATTTCTAAAATGCTAGACAATATGCTAGCATTCACAGGGCTAGTAAGTGGTAGATCCATGACTGAAATCCAGAGGATAGTAATCTGTTTTGTAAAAAGGAGATCACAATTTATTATATGCCACATGTGTGCAGTGAAAAAAAGGAATAAAAAAAAAGTCTGTATTTTCAAATTTTGAGAACCTGTGTCATGAAAATGGAGATGTTGGGCTATTTTGATGCGTAAGGAGGAGAAGAGAAAATGCATCTGAGTTTAGCTGTGTTTAGTTTTTTGGGGAGTTTTTTTGGTACCAGGGATTGAACTTGGGTCCTTGTGCTTGCGAAGCAGGTGGTGAAACCACTGAGCTAAATCCTCAGCCCTTAACTGTGTTTAGTTTTAAGAAGGGTGATTTAATTCACATCTATGCCAATGTGGATGGTGTTAATCTTACAGGATATTATTAAAGGGAGCCCGGTCTCCAACTTCATTTAAAAACATTTAGTTCAATGGCAAGGATGAGGGTTTAGTGGGTTTTATTTGGCAAAATACCTGTTAAGCATGGGACAAACTAGATGGGATTGACCAAATGATACTTGCAGTTCTTAGAAGAATTCCTGGTACGCACTGTCCACAAGTACTGTAGCATCTTACAGAACACTGGGAAGGGACAAGCAGCATTCTCCAAAGACAACCCAACTGTATCCATGATTACTGATGGGAAGCAAGTGGTGTCTCCTCTTTTAAGGATGCTACTCCTATGGAATCTGGATCCTTATGATCTCATTTAAAGCCTTTTTTTTTTTTTGGCACTACTGGAAGTTGAACCCAGTGCCTTTTACCTGCTAGCCACGTGCTGCACCTACACCCCCAGATCTTTTTACTTTATTTTTGAGGCAGGGTCTCATTAAATTGCCCAGTCTGGCCTCAAATGTGGGATTCTCCTGCTGAGATTGCAGGGTACAGGTGTGCACCACCATGGATGGGCCTTAATCACTCTATAAAACACTTGTTTCCAGATACAGTCACACTGGGGGTGAAAGGTGAGGGCTTCAACATATGCATGGGAGGCAGGACACACTTCAGTCTCTGGCGGACACCGGGAGTCTTTTTACATAGAATTAGTGATAGAGTTCCTGTCAGCCTAGAAAGCAAGCTTCCCAGGTGCTTGGAAAAGACCAAAAGGGATTCATTCTAATCCCTCGTATTTCCAGGAAGAATTCCTCGTCAATAATTTTTGAAATATTGTTGTGTACTCTGCTCTTCTAGTAAAAGTTGTCGAATCTCCTATGAAAAGTCATCTTTGGTATACAGAGCTACTGTGCTGTAAATAAAGCTGAGCTTCACTAGAGAACTCCCTATGCATTAGCTCTACCTCCTCCGCCTGTTCCCAAATACTTTTTCTGTTATTCCATCCCGGATTCTCACCAGCAACTGCACTACCTTTTATTTCCTTTTAATATTCGTTCCTGGATCAAAAAGAAAATTCTCCTCTGCTGGCATTTGGATAGAGATTTTGCGACTCGAGCATTCTGTGTAAAGAAAGAAAAGTTGTATACGGACATAAATTTTTTTAAAGTATGGCAGTGTAACAGTTAAAAAGTGATTTATAAGGAAGTTATGTAACAGTGATCCTGTCTAATTCAACCTACATTCCTTACCTTTTCTTTCTGGGTTGTTATAATTATTGAATTAAAGAGTGTTAAGATCAAACATCTTCTTAGGGATGGAGAGAAAAAAACAAGTACTCAGAAATACTTATACTGCCCTGGAGAGAATATACCCATGGGTTAGACTCCCAGGCTGACCACTCTTGTTTCTCCAAGCCTCACCAAATCCCAAACTTACCGGTTTCCAACTTTGTAAATAAACTGCTGGGCTCTTAGAAACTTTCCACAGGTGCCTGCTCATTGAATCAAATTTTGCAACTGAATTGTTTCTGGCAAACGGCTCAAATCATCAGTTTTTCCCCTCTCTAAATTCTCTGTTGTACCATTCTGATTATTTTGTCTAATTTTCTGTTCATAAAAGCCTGTGGTTATAAACTTTGAATGTGATTTTGAATTTATTGACAATTGTCATTTCGTGGTAGTTCCTATTACGCCAAAATGTCAATGAGGATCATTATAAAAGAACTCAAGACTCTGGAGTCAAAGTCCAACTTGGAAGAAGTTGAGATAAGGCAATAGACAAAATGGACTTTACAGAAGTGACAGAAAATGAGCATAATATTAATTCACAAGTAAGAGAAATAAGCAAGCGCATGGAAGGCAAGCATCAGCCACTAATAACAGCACAATCATAGCTCAGGGTAAGCTTTGATGTGTCGTAAATGCTTTTTAAATTTCAGCTATTTTAATTTTTGCAAGAGGAGGTGGGGCTTGATTTATGGTAGATGACTGAAAATGGAACAAGGGTTATAATAGGGCATCTGAGTGGGCTCTGTGTTTGCATGTGCATGAGCACGTGCGGGTTGCCTATCCGCCAGCCAGATGGCTGTCTAAACGAAAGACAGGCATTATTTGTAAGATTTTTTTTTTTTTTGCTATTAATGGATTACACACGAGAGTTGATAATTACAAGAAATATTGACGCAACCAAGAAATCCTGGCACAGTCAGGGTATGTAATGCTCAGAGTAAGAGTAACAGGACACACACATTTGTCTTCTGCTTGAAACTCGTACAACTGTTCCCAACTGCTGTGGAACCTTCTGGTTGAATTCCATCCCTCACATAGTAACAAGAGAGTCAAAACAGCTCCCCTCCTGAGCTCTGGTCACAACAGTTTCATAATCATGTTCTTTCAGAAAGTTCCATAGTCCACTCCCCGGAACAAAATAAAGTGAATTCCAGAAATGTAAATCAGACCCTGTCCAACAGGGCTTTTTCTTCTATTTGTATAATTCTTAAAGCATAGTTATCTTTTACTTGATTTGGAGGAGAGGAGTGGTTGGCTTATGAATTTTCTTCCACATTATTTTTCTACTGTCTCAGTAGCCATTCCTTTTGGTTATGTAGTCTGAGGAACTGATGATTCTGTAACCATTCTGACACAAAACAATCCCATAATTTTTTTTATTCAAGTCTCTAATGAGATTTCTTCTTAAATCTTCTTAAGAAATAATCCTATTTTCTTATTTTAAAAAAAGACTTATTCCAAACCAATTACTATTCAAAAAGTTTCCACATAAGTTATTTTGTGACAGTGGTCTATGATTCAATTCCCCAGAGGTCAAGCTACCATTCTACAATAAAGCTCAACAAAATATCTGTGTCTGCTCTCACAAATTCAAAGAAAGCCAGAGTAAGATTGGTGGTCTTTAAATGAGAAATTTTGGGATGCTGCGAAAATATTAGCAGATGTTGAATAGTATGGATTTCCTGCTACTAAACTCTCCTTCAAGCTTGCTTGGTTTTTTTCCAGTAATCTAAACATATGACAATATTGAGCAATTGTAATGCAATATCAACTAGCTAGAGAGTAGTTAGGTCAAATGAATCATTCTTCCAGGTTACACTGAAGGTTCAAAAAAGAAAAGAAAAGAAAGAAAAAGTTTTCTTCCCATGGCAGAATTCCAACTAGATACACTGATAATTAGCAGCCTAAGCTTAATATGCTAAAGTACTTAGGGA